GGACGGCCCGACGGTGGTCGCCACGGCCGGCCTCTGGCGCCGGCGGACGCAGCAGCTGCTGTCCGGTGACCGGCTGCGAGCGGCCTACGACGCGGCCGTCGGCCGGTGGCCGGACCGGTGGCAGCTGCTGCAGCATTACCTGGCGGAGGACGACACACAAGGTAAGTCCGCCGCCGCACAGTGGGCCAGGCGCTTCAAAAAAGCGGAATTAAATCATTGAGCACAGCTGCGATGCCAAAAATGATTCGTTACAGGGTAAAATATCATGCTAAAGCCGAATCCGATATCCATTTTCAATTTTCATTGGTTACGCTAGGTCACTGACCTATGACGTCATTATTTAATTTCTGCGCTGAACATATGCCCGGGACAGGCGGGCACTATGCCGCATTGGCCGCGCGTTTGCAGTCTTTTCGTGGTTTCAAGCGTTCATACATGTGATATGATGTTGGTCCCATGCATTAGGGTGGGTGTAAAGGTCACCTGAAGGTCAGGTCAGGTCATTGACCTTCGATGACCTCGGTTCACTTTTTCGAGTTTTACATGTTTCTGGGCTAGTTTTTGGAGCTGAATTCGAATTTAGGAACCATTTGAACATTTACGAAGTAGTTTTGGTGCCTTCGTAACATGTTACGAAGCTGTCAGAGGCGGGTTGACACCTACTACGAATACCCGGCAGGACCCATACTGGTTGACCTGACCTGAGCTGACCCGACCTGGCCTAAATGCATGAAGACATCATCTGTGATCAAAACTAACATGATATTCGTGATCAGCATCCCGAAAACCCCCTTAGCAGCCACACTATACGACGTTCTAACAGGTCCCGACTTTCGGCCATTGACCTGACCTCAGGGGTCACCATTTGACCTATGACCTTAAAACCGGGTACCGTTGGCTTCGTCTCGTGACGACCTACACGATGGTTTTTTCCGCGAGGCTCTAGCTCAATTAGGGGCCAAACGCGAGGAGGGTCGCATCCCCCTGTGCCGTCGAGGGATGCAAAACGGCCTATGCCGGCGAGGGTTAAACCCTTATTTGTCCATTTCGCGCAAAAATGCGCAAAATATTTGCATTGGGTAGCAAGCTATACACCTTGAGGAAAGTCAGGCAGCAAATATCTTCGTGTTGTTCGGTGACGTTTTCTTTATATCCTTATATAAATTCATTGCGTCGTTGCACTACCACGGTTCCGAACAGGCACTGTAAACCCCACCGCTACTAGTAAGCATGAAATCGTTCCCGGGAACTTGAGTACGAGAAACATGCGCAGAAATACCGGCTGTTTTTTTAAAGCTATTTTGTACGGAATAACTTTAATGATTTTACGCTGAGAGCTTTTGAATCGGGGGAACGGAATATGGTACACAGCAGTCATTTCCATCACCAGTCGGTAAGTCCTACTTTGCGACGTTATAGCATTATCTGCCTTGACATTGGGGAAAGGAAACTTGCTTATTCGGAAACTTTGGACATTTCTACAATACTCTATCCCATAATTACAGGAATTTCACCGAAGTTGATTTTCGACTTAATTCCGCTTTTTTGATGCGCCTGGCCCACTGTGCGCCGGCGCCGCCGCGCGGGTTTCGCTTTGGTAGCCGAGTTACTGACTGAATAAATGCTACTTAGAAACACAGGCAAAAGGAAATGGATGAGCACGGCCGCGAACCCGCGACCTTTGGCGCGGGTTGGAATGCGACTGCGCTAACTATTACGCCACGCAGACAGTTCTATTGTGTTGACTTATAAGTGAGTTACAATGAAAAGTGGATTATTCTCCGGATGGCTCCTCCCCCTCCCGCTGACACACAGACACACACACATACAAGTGGGCGGTGCACTCCGTCACCCGGTGGCCACAACACTGGACCGGATTGGTCATCACTGTACAGCGGCAATACGAGAGACCACCGACTGTTCAATGGCCGTGGACCGATACTAAATCAGAATACGACCCGTGGCCGTGACATTGATCAATTCGACATATCCTATAAGTAAATTACATGATATGATGTTATGATCAGTATGATTGTATGATTAGATGTATGTACCCAGGCTCTATTATACAGGCACGTACCCAGGATTTCGCCCAGGAGGGGGCCACCTGCTTTCGAAGGGGCCCCCCACAGTGTATAGGGCCCCCCAGGTTCCCCGGGGGCCCCCGGGAGTCATGAAGAACCTTTCGATGGTGGGGGGGGGGGGGGCATAGTGGGTCCGGTCTCTCCTGCAGACGTAGGTGAGAAAACTCCACGTGTGTGGGAAAACGCAATTCAGTTCTTTACAACCTAATGTAGCATTTGGTTGTGATTTCTCGCGTTCAACTTCATCAAAGTCAATTAAAACGGTCTCTGTAACGGTCTAAGCCTTGAGAAAATGTGGAAAATTGGAAAGTAAAAATATTTTTGCTTGAGGAGTGTGCATGAAACGCACGGCATTTTATAAGCGAGCGCCTCAATTACTGAATATCCTCCAATTCCGGATATGTAGGTATATAATGTAATAGTGGGGAATAAATGTCTCGTTATCGGAATTCCACTATCTGGCAACTAGCCCTATGTAAACGCGGCTATTATATGTTTCACTAGGAATCGAGCGCAATTGTACTTTTAGCCAGAAAATAAATGTTTGGGTAATTCTGGGACACTCTGTATTAACCCGCGCACCGACGGGGGTCTGCGCCAACTTAGTACCGACGGGGGGGGGGGGGCGGATGACCGCCCCCCCTGAGATCTCGAGAACGAAGCAAGATAGCGACAAGCGGTAAACGGCATCGGATACGCACGGTCAAGATCTACAATTTTTACTAAGGTCATTTTCAGGTCAGGTCAAAGATGACGTCACAGGGGTCGAAAAAGTCAAAATGGCGGCGCTAAATATGGAGAGAGTTTTTCTCGAATAACTTTCGAATTAGTCAAGGTAGGAACAAACTAAGGGCATCATCGTGATCCTCTCGTCAATCCGCATCGAATGATATATATGTTGACCTCGAAAGGTCAAGGTCAAAGGTTGACCTCAGGTCACGTGACCTCGAGGTCATCATGTATATCATTGGATGCGTCTTGACGAGCTGAACACAATGAGACCATCCACGCGTCTGTATCTTGTTCCTGTACGGAGTTATTGGCCAAAAACCTTTGGTGACCTTTGATGACGTCACATGACCTCACAGCTGCCCAACAGCAAAACAGACCTCAAGGTAGTGAAGGTTGATCGTATATGAAGTCATGTATGGTATATGGGGCCATTCCGACCCGTTTTAGTGGTAAAAACAGGGAGTTGATTTTTCCCCCATTGACTTATAATGGGGAGGTCGCGAAATTGACCTGACCTTAGGTCACCGATATCAAAATTCCGAGATATACAAATTGTAGCTACTAATGACCTAACAACATCCTGCGACTTTCAAAGGCCTCCGACATCTACTGTAGCTCTGGCACGGTGACAAAGTTGCAAAAAAGTGACTTGAGGTTGGGTCATTCAAAGTGACCTGGTGACCTGACCTTGAAAGGTAGGAGGTTCAAACTTGCACACCATGTGTAAAATTGATAAGGGAATAGTCATACCAAATTTCGCGGCGCTACGCGCCGCGGTTTTCCCGCTATTCGCGAAAAACCTCAGGGGGGGGGGGCGGATATCCGCCCCCCCCCCCGTCGGTGCGCGGGTTAATTGGAGGAATAGGACTTAGGAGGAAATGTGATTGCAAATCGACCCACATCCCTGTGTTAGCCAATGACGCCTTTGGGGCCAAGGTTGGGGGGTATTCAGTTTAGCCTTTTTGTTTTTCTGTGATATCTCCGGCACCGTGAAAGATACCTATTGGCTCCTTCAGATGAGTGCCTACTCCAGTCACTACTTATTCCAGTAGACAGTAGCCACTCAGATGATTTGGGATCAATCAGGTGATAAGCGTACTTTCAGACGACCAGGGGCCCCCAGTCGACCAGGGGTTCCCAGGCGACCAGGTCCTCCAGATGACTAGGGGCCCCACTGCCCCAGGCGACCAGGGCCCTCCAGGCGACCAAGGGCCAATGCGATCAGGTCCCCAAAGCGATCAGGGGCCCCAGGCGACCAGGGGGCCCCATGCGACCAGGGGGCCCCATGCGACCAGGGGGCCCCATGCGACCAGGCTCCCGGCTACCAGGGGCCCCCAGGCGACCAGGGGCCCTCTAGGTGACCAGCGGTCCCCAGGCGACCAGGGGATCCCAGGCTACCAGGGGCCCAAGGCGACCAGGGTCCCCCAGGCGACTAGGGGCGACCCAGGCGACTAAGGAGACCAGGCCCCCGGCTACCAGAGGCCCCCTAGGCGACTAGGGGCGACCCAGGCAACCAGGGGCCCCCATGCGACCAGGCCCCCCGGCTACCAGGGGCCCCCTGGGCGACTAGGTACCCCCAGGCGATCAGGGGCCTCAATATCATGCAACCAGAGGCCCCCCATGCGACTAGGGCCCCCTAGGCGACTAGGGGCCACAGACTATCAGGGGCCCATACGACCAGGCCCCGGGCTATCAGGGCCCCCTAGGCAACTAGGGGCCCCCAGTCGATCAGGGGTCTCAATTGCGACCAGAGGCCCCCCATGCGACCAGGGCCCCCTAGGCGACTAGGGGCCACAGGCTATCAGGGGCCCTCATGAGACCAGGCCCCCGGCTACCAGAGGCCCCCTAGGCGACCAGGGGCCCAGGAAACTGGGGGCGCTTGGATGACTGCAGGGGCCCCTCGGGTACCCAGGGCACATAAATGAAACTTTAATATCAATTTTTCTTCCGAGTAAAAGACGTTTTGTCCAGTGTTTAAAAAAATATCCTGGGGCTTGAGGGGCTCCCTGAGCGCCTTCGGCGCTCAGGGGGGGCCTTGGCCCCCGTGGCCCCCCCCCCTTGGGTACGTCACTGCTATTATATGGTCCAAATGCGATTTACCTATATCATTTACCTATACCTACCTATATCTGTAAGAGTTTGCATCTCTCTAATGATGCCAAAGTTTATGCAATTCCGTTAAAACCTCCAATACAATACCAATACCACGGTGTTGAAAAGCCACAGTAGGGAAGACTGCCCTTGGAGACAAATGTCCAAGATATGAGCTGCAGTCGGCTCCGAAAGCAGTTTGACAGATGGCAGCACCGTCAGCTGATGCTTGTGTAGGTGGCAGCACCAGTCACAGCAACGCCAGGCCAGAGCTGCAATCACAAACAAAAGGATTATTTGTAACGAGACGAATATCGTTGAAAGGTGCGTCGAACTTTAGGAATACAGCAAAACAGGAAGATATGACAGTCAAACTCGTTTATAGAGGAAGCAAATTATGAATCATTTCCAGCTGCTGCATTGATTATTTCTCATGTTTGCGTTTCAGATTAGCTATAGGTAGGTAGCCAGGATACCTATTTGCAATAAAATAAAATGGTTCAGCGAAACTAGATTCAGCAGATGGAAAATACATTTATTGTGCTAAGTACAATTATAACGTTTGAATAGAGTCAGACTTGATCCAGTCCAAGATACCCATCTGCTGCCGTCGGTGCCGGAATATGCCGTCAGATGACAGGGCCGACATCAGAATAGGAACCGATTGAAATGTCGACATCCGTCTCAGAAACACCATGGAGTCGAGCTGCGAACAGAAACAACAAAAACATGTCAGAGTGACCGAAACGTGCAGCTGAGTGAGCACTTGTCATTTCTGGGATGGACAATTAGGGGCACACACAACAAGAAACGAACAAAACAACAAACGTGCATCGTTAGCTCATGTTGAGGTCATCGTTTCTCGAGGGCAGCGCTTTTCGAGGAGCGCTGTGGCCCGAAGGTTTGGACTTTGAATTGTGAAAAACGCCCGCCCGTCGTTAGCCCGCGCCCCGCTGGGCTCTGCCGAGCAACGCGCCCGGTTGGGGGGGGGGCCATTTTGGCCCCCCCCCCCTAAGATCTCGAGAACCACGCAACATAGCGACAAGCGGTAAACGGCGTTGGATAGCCCCAACGGGGAACTACCTTGTGACCCAATTTTATTGACCTAGGTCAAACCGATGACGTCACAGGTCAGGTCAAAGGTCCAATTTTCACCGTTTACAGGCACTTCAAGAAATGCGTTGTAAAATCGAGTAAAATGCATTTCATTGAAAATCATCGATGGGGAAATGTTCTTCAAACACATATTTTGCTATTTGAGGTCACTGATACCAGGTCAGGTCACAGAGGTCAGGTCACGTGGGGGTCACAATATGAAAGTGTCGTGTGATACATGTTTTATGGTCCATTTTACATGACAAATGCGATTATATGGGTCAGGCAGCCTTTGGGGCCAGCTTAGATCACGTTTTGGTCAAGGTCAGGTCAAGGTCAGGTCAAGGTCAGGTCAAATTAGGTCAAATTTCAAAGTTAATATTTTTGCATAAAATGGGTATCGAATCGATGCAGCTCGTCACGGGGAGTTCAATGGTGGTCTTTGTTTTGCCGTACGTGGTCTATAATTGCTAAAAATTGAGTTCAAAAATTTGACGTCATCATTTTTGAACAGTTTTTTCGCTATAACTTGGCCAAAAAACGAGATATCGATCTGAAATTTGGTATGTATATAGAAGAGCGCTGGGACTATCACATATCTTCCGGTTTTTTCGAAATTCGGAAAATTTTTGGAATTTTTCCAAGTTTTTCTAAAAAAATCAATTTTTTGATTTTTGTTTGCCAAAAACCAAAAATTTGGAAAATCCGAGATAGCAGTTTTGTAGCGCCGCTTTTTGCCTACTAGACCATATAAAGAACTTTGAAATTGCTTGATAACTGTAGATTTGGTGAGCGTTTCAAGATTGCATATTTTTTGCTCATTTTTGCTCGAACATGACCTCAGTTTGACCTCAATAACTCCTGACCTAAGGTGACCTAAGACTTGAAATTTGGTGTGAAGGTGTCAAATTGATGCCCGGGAAGGTACTGAAAATTTGGCGGCGCTGCGCGCTGCTGTTTTCCTGCTATTCAGGAAAAACCACAGGGGGGGGGGCCAAAATGGCCCCCCCCCCAACGGGGCGAGGGTTAGCTCATGTTGAGGTCATCGTTATGGACAACTCAGAGTCTTGCATATCTCAAAGTGGTTTGACAAAAATTGACTCTGGGACAACTTTGCACAGAAGGGCTATACCCCCCTCTCCCCCTAGGATCTCGAAAACGATGGGATACATTCGGTTGATGTCTGCAATTTTTACACCGTTTTTTTTTTTTTAAAGTCAGTGCAAAGATGACGTTGCAGGGGTGAAACTAGTCAAAGTTGTGGCGTGTGAGGCCAATAAAGTACAGGGTGTCCCAAAAAAGGTTATGATTTAAAACTTCACCCTCGCCCTGGCAGGGGGGGTCGATGCGACCCCCCTAAGGTTTTTCGAAGATAGCGTAAAAACGGCGGCGCGCAGCGGCGCCAAATTTGACACAGCCTATGGGGCAACCTTTTTACATATGACCTGAAAATTTCAGGTCCAGGTGACCTTGGGTCAGGTCACCAGGTCAGAAAAACCGGTGGAGGGTCATGGTCAAATTTCAATTTTCTTTTTGCACCTGTTCTTCTCACAGTTTTGGACTGATTTCCTTCAAACTTTCAGGATGTGCTAAGTTCACCGAGTTGTATAACATATACATAGCCTGTGGGCCATGGCCCCCCCACTTTCGGAGGTGGGGGGGCCAGCAATGTTAACTGGCCCCCCCACTTTTTGCTGACTTAAGTGTCTGTCTGTACCTAACCTACCACCCGGTAACTTGACAACTATTCAGCTTGCCCTTTAATGAGGATTCCTTTTTGTTTCTACAGCGTTATTGACCGCAATTTCCTTCACTCAATGAAGGAAACCATATCAGAGACAAGACTGTGAGTCCTGGTGACAGCATTTTGTTGAATACGAGGCGCGGGACAGCGAGCACTAAAAAGGTATAGGCAATACTAAGACAATACTAGCACGGTGCAGGAGAATGCGTATACAAACGACCAACGCTTGACCTTATCTGCTTGGGGTCGGCATAGTTCGTCAAAGACGTACTAGCTGGGGGCCAGGGTGACCGTGCCTCAGCCTCGTTTCAAACAGGCTGGGGGCCAGCAATGTCTGTTTCTGCCCCTCCCCCTTCCACTTCCAGTGCAGTGACGGTCGCAGAGGGGGATCAGGGCCATGCCCTTCCCCCCTCCAAAGGCTAATCAGGGGGCCATCATATCATTTGGCCCCCCCAAACAACCAATGGGCCCCCATGGGCGTATGGGGCTCTGGCCCTTATTCGATTGTCACGAGACTCAAGAATCCCACGCTAGCTATTAACAGCTCCCAAACCAGTCTTTGAGGGTCCTACACTGATCTCGGAGGGCCCTTCAGTGGCGGTCAAGCGCCCACATTGACCGCTGAGAACCCACATTGACCTCATTTGAGGGCCCCTAAACCGGCCTCAAGGGCCCAGCCGGCGTCTGAGGGCCTCACACCGGCCTCTGGTGGCCTCATTTCTGTCTCTGGGGTGCCTTTAGGTGCCTTTGAGGGCCCCGCACTGAATTCTGAAGACCCGATGCCGGCCTCTAAGGGTCCGCATCGGCCTCTGAGGGTCCACCTTGGCCTGAGGGGTCCAACGCCGGCCCATGCCGGTCTTTTAGGGCCCCACACTGACCTCTAAGGGCCCATGCTGACCTGTAAGGACCCACATTAGCCTATGAGGCCTTGCACGGGATTCTGAAGACCTGATGCCGGCCTCTGAGGCCCATCTTGGTTTTTGAGGGCCTTCTGCTGGTCTCTGGGTTCCAACACCGGCCCATGCCGGTATTTTAGGGTCCCACATTGACCTCTAAGGGCCCCGCACTGGATTCCGGAGATCCGATGCCGGTCTCCAACGGTCCGCATCGGCCTCTGAGGGCCCACCTTGGCCTATGAGGGCCCTCCGCTGGTCTCTAGGTTCCAAGTCCCTCCCATGCCGGTCTGTTACGGCCCCACACTGACCTCTAAGGGCCCATGCTGGCCTGTAAGGACACGCATTAGTCTCTGAGGGCCTTGCACTGGATTCTGAAGACCCGATGCTGGCCTCTGAGGCCCATCTTGGTTTTTGAGGGTCTTCTGCTGGCCTCTGGGGTCCAACACCGGCCCATGCCGGCATTTTAGGGTCCCACACTGACCTCTGAGGGCCCATACTGGCCTGTAAGGACCCACATTAGCCTCTGATGGCCCAAGTCGGCATCTTAAGGTCTCATCCTGCCCTTTGCAGGCCCTGTACTGGTCTCTGAGGGCCTTAACCCTCGCCAGCCGGGGGGGGGGGGGGGTGCCGCCCCTCCATAGTTTTTTTTCGCGATAGCTCCGAACACGCCGGCGATAGAGAGCTGAAGCTTGGCATACCTGACCTTTGAATCAAACGGGATCTTTTGACACCAACCGCATTTTCGGGTCAGATCAGGTCACTGACCCATGTGGTCATAAGTGAACCTCTGCACGGTCTTCAGATGTCGCAACTTCGCAACGCCCTCACTGCCAGAGGAGATTTCACAGGGAAATGAACCTTGGAGGACCTAGTATCCAATAGGAGTCTTTCAACTTGTATAATGTATATCTCGGATTTTTCCTAAAGTTCATATGAGGTCAGGTCATTTTCGTGACCTCACCATTAGGTATAAGTCAATGGGGATAAACTGAAAACTTTTTCTGGCGCCGGGAATGATCGATCTCCAACTACCTCAAGCACACCGAATCGTGATTTCATGCACTCCTTGCAAGGTTCGATGCGTCACTTTTGCAATGTTGACCTTGCGCGACGTCATTTATGAAGTTATAAGGGTCTTATTAGTTTTTCGTCAATAACTAGGTACCGATCAAATTGAGCTAGCGAGTCGGGAAAGCCACCTATGGACTCAAGAAGACCTGCCGAATCGAATGATATGCGACATGACCTCCTTCGACCAATTTCGTGACCTGGGGACGCCGACCTGACCGTGACCCGAGGTCAACACCCTAAGTTTACCTCACCCAAACAAAAAGTATATCATTCGACGCGCCTGAGAGAGGCGAACACGATGCTGGCAAAATCGCGGCTCTGCGGCCATTTTTTGCGAAGTTATTCACCAAAAACGGAACCGTGCCTTGAGGCACTTGACCTGACCTCAGAGGTCACCGCATATGTTACCACCCACCTCTAACTCAAAAACTAAGAGGGCTAGAAAGACGCGGGAAAAAGCCGTCGATAGCTCTCAATGCGTACGTTTGAAGGTATTTCAGTCATTTTTCATCTTAGAGCAATATTGGGGTCACCAGAGGTCATCAAAGGTTAACATTTTCCAATGGTCATAATATTTTTCAGAAAACATGTCGTTATCTCAGGAACTATGGTAGCTAGAAAAACGCATGGAAAAGCAATCGATAGCTCTTGAACTCTTCTTTTGAAAAGGACATTATCGAAATTGACTTCAGGTCAATGGTTTAGCCTCCAGAGGGCAAAAACTCCAAAAATAGCTGTTTTTACGAATAGTGTTTTTCGACAATAACTTTCAACTACAAAAAGCCACGACATTTATATTGCCAGAATCGTGTTCCCCTCGCCGAGACGCGTCGAATGAACTATAATTTGACCTTGAAAGGTCAGCTTGAAAATTTGACCTCAGGTCAAGGTCATGACCTG